GTTGTTTGTGAATGTCGGGACACCGCTTATCCGGTTTAACAGCGCTCCTCGCGTCACGGTTAATGGAAACCCCAAGCGAGTGATTAAACTTCTGGGATCAAACTGGTACGGGAGAAAGCGCTCATCAGGGAATGAGTAAACGCATAAAAAATCGGGTGGTCGATGAATAGGATAACTTTAAATCATACAGATGAAGGGATCTCTTTGTTTATGGAATTGACTGCAAGTATTTATCACTCACGGCTGGGTTTATCCTTGACGTCGGGCACAACCGGAAGGTAGAAACACATCTTGAGAGCAAATTAGACTACATAAACTTGAAGTGAAGCTTGGGGCTAAATTTCGCCAACAGTTTTGAGCCAAATGAATTCGATTTATCCGGTTCGCATGGATGAGCCATGTAGCATTGGTCACTGGAGAAACTCGCGCAATCTAGTATCCAAGGTAGTCACAAATAGCCTAAGAGATTACTCTATTTTGTCGGAAAATGGGCAGAACTACTCTTCTACCTTCTCAGTCAAAACACGCACGAACGCAATACGCTGTGTACAATACAAGAACCAGAAATATTTCAGTTCCTACTTCCGGGCTTCTTTTAGGGAGCTACACTACTAAGAGACTTAACAGCTGATAACAGTAAAAGGCGTTGAATTTAAGTCTCACGATAAAGATGATAAAGAGCCACGTCACCAATTTTCAGTATTTTGCAAAACCAAAACTGACAGCGATCTTATTTTTAAGTTGGGGACTCCCCGCGGAACACACTCTGATATAATCGCATGATCATCCAAGACCGCAAGAATTTGCAAGACTGCAAATTCTAGGAAAAAAAAACAGGATGTTGTTGTATAGAAAGCGTGATTTTACCGTGAATTTTTGTTTTCAGTTTCCAAGTTAAATGATCGTGTCATAAGTGGGCGGTGTGGCCTGAGTTTGATTCATATAAGAGCAGAATCCATCAGTTGTCATCATTTCGGCGTATCGCTTCCAGTGACTCGGAGTTGCAGCTTACCGCAACAGGTGAAGTTAGGAACATTTCTTAATTTAAGCCTCCTTTCGCCGGTAGGTCATGCACTTTTGCTTGATATTTTTAACGTTTCCAACTGTTGTGTGTAGTTTTGGAGTTTATGTTGTTTGTGAATGTCGGGACACCGCTTATCCGGTTTAACAGCGCTCCTCAGGGTTAATGGGAACCCCAAGCGAGTGATTAAACTTCTGGGATCAAACTAGTACGAGAGAAAGCGTAGAGGGTGTTGTATCTGATGAAACTGAAACCTCAGAAGGATAGGTAATTTCTTATTTTGGAATATGGCAAAGCCACATAAAAACCAGCAATACACATCTTGGCAGCGAATGCTTTGCGGCCTTACGATAAAGCGAATAGCAATCCAAACGATTTGTTCCAAACAAGGTTTTCTTTCCATCTCTATAGTCAACTGGAAAACTACGAAGGTACATGTTTGTCGTACAAAGGTCACTGTAAAAAACAAACAAAACAAAACGATCTCTCAAAGAAGTCCTCTTGTTGCTGTGTTATGCAATTAAACCGTCGCGATTACTGCAAATACTTGGAACGTGTCCATTATTGAGTTGAACTTTATTGAACATCGCGCGTTCCACGGTATCGTTCAAAACCATCAAATGTTAACATTACTCAGACAGTCATACAATCACTGACGCATTGTCCATTGAAAACATACAAATTATCTCTCTTAAGGCTGGTTTCCATATGATCGCAGACGATCGCAGACGATCGCGGATCGCAAATCGCAGATCGCAGACGATCGCAAAGAGAGTTGTTTCCATAT